TATATATGCACATTAATTGGGTTCTTTGACTAAAAATTCCTACAACTTGAAAATACCTGGAAGAATAAAACATAAAGGCGATAAACACATTGTGCCAAACCTATCCATTCTGACTGTGTTTCCTTTCATTTTAAAAATAACAATATTTCAAAAACTATGGCTCCACCTCAGTTTTTTAGAATGAAAATTTTGAAATGCTAGGAACTTGCTACTGACATTTGAAGGAGGGACCTTCATTTAGGAATTGTGAAAACTCATTATATCCAAATATATGTTTCTTTAATCAGTAATATCTAGCATAATTTCAAATTTCAACTTTAAAATTTGTTTATGAAAATAACAATATTTCAAAAACTATGGCTCCACCTCAGTTTTTTAGAATGAAAATTTTGAAATGCTAGGAACTTGCTACTGACATTTGAAGGAGGGACCTTCATTTAGGAATTGTGAAAACTCATTATATCCAAATATATGTTTCTTTAATCAGTAATATCTAGCATAATTTCAAGTTTCAACTTTAAAATTTGTTTATGATAGGTGATTTATTTGGGCAAAGCTTCTATAATTATGTTTTAGAATTTTAAATTGTGTTTTAAGCCTATTAGAATCTAAAATATTTAGTTCCCTTGAAGCAAAACATTAGTCAGTACTATAAAGTTTGTATTTCCAAAAATGTTTCTGGTATAATATAATTGGAAGTGCTTGCTGAGGTCTTTATTTTAGTCAATATGAACATTCAAAAGAAAAGGAAGTGATTTAAACAGAATATCTAAATCACTATTTAATACTATGAAACTCCTTCTTTTGATATTTGTATGACATTACCAAAGCTAATTCCAGCATTTAATTGCATATACTAAGTTCATATGTCAGCTAAACTTATAGTTTTGAATATTTTGGAGCATTAAAAAGCAAACTGTGTAGTTTTTTTGACCACATAAAGGATAGAATTTTTATACTAGGGGTGAGAATTGCATATGCATATTTAAAGATATAAGCACCAATATTGCCATTCTCTTCTGTGGTAGAAGATCATATCATTCTCTTGTAACAAGGTGGCTGACATACTTGTCACTCTACAATTCAAGTAGCTTACAGCTCTCTTTTCTCCATTGTTTTTACTGTAACAAGAGTCAAATTGATTTGACATTGCAGCCAATACACACATATCACACAGGTGAAAGAGAGGATCTTGTGTCTGTGAGTTTGCATATGTTTAGTAATGTGTGTTTTGTGTGTTTAATTGAAACAAAGTGGCAGGGAATAATTTTCAACTTGTACAATGTAGAAGATTCAATTTTATTAGATCCCATTCTATTACAGTAGGAAATATATGGCTTTGGGAGCTTTTGTTGTTGTTTGTTTGTTCATTTGTTTGTTCTGGCCTCAAGCACTGTAATAGCTCAGGGGGATGATCTTAAATTCCTGATCCTCTGCCTGAGTCTCCCAAATGCTGAGACTGAAGGCATCTACCATCTTGGTAGGCTTAAAATGCATATTTTGACTCTTGGAATTCATTTTATGATAAATTAATGATCTGTAATCAACAGCAGAAAAATATTAGATAATGCAAAGGTAGTGTCAATTACAAATAGTCAAAATGGAAAAATTAAGAACTGATTACTTTTTCATGACAGTATGTGGTCATCTGAAATAAACGTGGCAGTGTGTTATAGAATCCAGACTTGGAAAGCGTGGTTATTGCCATCACTTGTAGAAAGATAATAAATTTGTTTCATGATAGGATACTAAAGTTTGAAAAGACAATATAAAATCAATAATATACATTTTGAAAATTGATATGTTCTTTCTAAAGTTTCCTAAAACAATGTATATTCATGATGAAATAATGATAAAAAAAATCTCTTAGAATGACCTGAAATTGTTATAGTATGACTTGTTCCAGGAAATATTAAGTGAAAGAACAAGGTTTAAACATGTTTTCTTATTGTTACTGTTGAGGATTCATTTTATTTTGAAAAAAACATACTGAAATATATAAAGAAAAATATCAAGAAAGGAACACCATGGTATGACTGGGGACAAGAGTTAACTCCACTCTACATGAATTTTCTCATTGTGTTAACTTGAATACTCACATAAATAAATATTATGGTTTTAAAATTAAAAGCAAAAGACAGGATAAAGCGAGAAACTATTTATATAAAGATTTTTAGAAACCAAATGTTTCAATGAAATTCCTCGATACTAAGTCAAATCTGTATAGTTAAAATCCTAACATCACTAATTTAATTTTTGAAATATTAAATTGAACTTCATTTTCCTTAAAAGCGTATACATAATTTTTGTGCTTAAGTTTATCAATTTATTCTCAGAAGCATACAAGTATATTTAATATTTAAATGGAAACCTTGACCTCTGTGGGCATTACATTACATGGGTGAATTGACATACACGATGGTAATATACTCATAAACAAAAAATAAAAATAATAAATAAAATTTGAAAAAAGATTTCCAAAGAACCCTGTTTTAAAGATATTAACCAGGAAAAAGTCTACAGAATATATCTACGTTGCTTTGCTTTGACTTCTAACAAGATCTAGAAGTAATTCATTGTAATGGCATGAAACGTACCTAATCCCAAATGATAGTCTAAATATCATTTTCCAAAAAGTAAAATGTCACTACTACTTATAATGACAATAATTAATAATAATAATAATAATAATGAGTCTGTGAAGGAAGGTGTCAAGGCAATGAAAATGATGAACTAATGATGTCTGTCACATTAAAGAGTATAGTGTTACAGGCATTAACATGAAAGTGTTCCAGTTTGCAATGATTAGGCAGTTAGAGCATCACAGGAGTAGTTTGTGCTCCTAACTGAAGACCATTTGTTCATAATAATTTCTAAAACAAATAAAGAAGATGGAAAGAAAACAGGGAGAAAGTAAGGAAGGGAGGGTAGGAAAAAGCAAGATAAAGAAGGAGATGTCCATAAACACAAAACAACACATGCACTTTGATATAGTTTTGATGGGATGGAAAACAGAAAATATGCATTGATGGAGATTGTTTGGGCTATGGGGACCGACACTTCAGAAATAAGTCAGTAAATGTATATGTAAATATATGTCCACACGGCTGTAGCATTATTTGAGAAAGACAAAATTTGAGTCATTTAAATAGTTACAGTAAGACATTAGTAAAATATACATTTCCTCATGAAATATTGTATAACTACAGAACTTTATTAAATGACCTCTAGAGCTGCTTGAACTACAGCTTTAGTAAGTAAACAGAAATTCCTGGTTAATTCCTGGTTATAGAAGGTTTCAGCAGGTTTTTCATAAGATAGAACAGTATGTTTTTATATTGAGAAATCCATTTACCTTCAAGAGGTAAGTCTGGGAGCTGGAGAGATGGCTCAGTGACTAAGAGAATTGGCTGCTCTTGCAGTGGGCTCAAGTTCAGTTCCAGCACCCACATGGTGGCTAATGATTATCCATAACTCCATGGACAGTGCACACACAGGTGAAATTATATACATTTAGGTAAAACACTCACACATATAAGAAAAAAATAAATAAAAATATTTTTAAAACTTATGCACACACCTTTAATCCCACCACTTGGGAGGCAGAGGCAGGCGGATCTCTCTGAGTTCAAAGCCAGCCTGGTCTACATAGTGAGTTCCAGAATAGCTGGGGCTACAGGGAGACCCTGTCTCAAAAAGACCAAACCAAAAAAAAAAAAAAGTTAAGTCTTGAGTCATCTAAGATCATTCAACTTGCAGAGGTGAACCCAGGGCTTAAAATCTGGCAGCAGGTGAAGTGGTGGTAGCTTGAGAGGTGATACAATACATCTATATTCTTATATATTTTAAAGCTTTTCTATAAGCATGTATTGATTTGTAATGTACACATGAAAAAGAATGATCTCTACTATATACCAGTTTTACTATTATTGATATATTACTCAATCTGTATCCTCCAAAGGTGCCAAGCAGCCAACAAGACTTGTCCAGCAAACTATGTGTGGAATAACCACATGTGCAGGTGCCTGGCTCAGCAGGACTTTATATTTTCCTCAATTTCTGGGGATGGTAAGTGGAATCATACTTTACTCTGTATCTGATCTATATTTTGATTAACATATTTATATTAAGTTCTCAAATATACAGTATCATCTCATCCCTTCCTTGAAATGTTTACAAAGAGGGATATTTCTAATTCATATTGGCATTATTTTTAACTTCTCTATAGTTACATGCCATGTTTATACACATTCCTTTAATAGAAAGCATAAAAAAAGATGTTTTAAATGCATGTATGTGAAACCACACCCCAAACTAAATGAGATCCTGTGAAGATGTCCTTTGTTTGTTTAGACTCTACCAACGGATTTTATGATGTCTGTGGACCCAACAAGGAGCTGGATGAAGACACATGTCAATGTGTCTGTAAAGGGGGGCTCCGGCCTTCCAGCTGTGGACCCCACAAAGAACTAGACAGAAACTCATGCCAGTGTGTCTGTAAAAACAAACTTTTACCTAGCTCATGTGGACCCAACAGGGAATTTGATGAAAATACATGCCAATGTGTATGTAAAAGAACCTGTCCCAGAAATCAACCCTTGAATCCTGGAAAATGTACCTGTGAATGTACAGAAAATACACAGAAGTGCTTCCTAAAAGGAAAGAAGTTCCACCATCAAACATGCAGGTAAGGGAACTTCATCCACATCATTGACTTCTCTTCCAAAAAACACAATACTCTCAACTGGAAGCACTTTTCTAATCCAAAACTAACAACAGCTTTTTAAAATGGGGTCACCAAACCCAGTGAGGATTGTTAATTATAATTATTTAAACCAATGGTAGTCTTTTTTGACACCAGATAATTTTTTGCCCTTTTTGAAACAGTCTTATTACTTAGGCTGCCTTTGAAGTTACAGATCTCCTGCCTCTTTTTTTTTTTTTTTTTTGATACAGGGGTTTCAGGAACACATAACCATGCCTGGTCTGTGAGATTTTTTTTTTTTTTCCGAAAATGTAACACAGGAGCATTAAGAAACAAAACCAAATTCGATTACAATCTGAACTAAATCTTTGTCCCAAAGGCTAATATAAAATGTCCTATGAATTGTGTTGGAGTATGTGTGTATTATTTTCAAAATATATTCAGCATTCCATATCTGTCACCTCCAAAAATTGTGATACTTCCAGATTTAACTAAGGAAAAGTTGTTTCAGGTACAGAATTTCCAAGGACACAAAAACAGCACATTATAGTACTATCCCCTGTAAAGTTTTATCTAGAATGACAATATATATACTAAGTGCTTCATGGAATTAGATAAATTAAAGGTTACTCATGGAGAGATGGCACAATAGTTAAGAATGTGTACTTGCTCAGGACACGCGTTCCATTCCCAGCGCCTATGTCAGGTGGCTTACAACCACCTGTAACTCTAGCTCCAAGAATCTAGATCCTTCTTCTGACCTGACACCTGCACTCACATGCGCATATATATATATATAGTGGGCAACTACACTCACATGCACATACCCACCATTATATATATATAATTAAAAATAAAATCTTTAAATGGCCTTAAGACTCATTTTTAAAGTTTTGCTTTCAATCTCTTTTACATCGAGAAAATAAATGAGGTTCTTAGACTCGAAGACTTTCCATGTTTAGCTCTGAATTTATTCCTCTTTAATCTCAGCAAATAAGGTGAACTAGTATTTGACATAGATGTTGTTTGTTTTCTATGATACTCTTTGCTGAAAGAATTGGTCCAAGAGTCATGCCCTTTTCCTTGTTACTTCAAAAGTTTAGCTCTATCTCCCTTTTCCTTCAGTTTATGAAGGTTCTGGATTTCTTCCGCTTTATGTTCCTCTTAGTCTGATGCTGAGCACACGTCAAGACCCAAGCGTTGTATTCTAAACCTGCTCAAACACAGGTCAGGCCTCATTGGCTTTCCCTGCTCTTTCGCCTTCCATTTACACAAGGACTATAGGCTGGCAGTGCCTCTACGCTAAGCTCTGTTTAAGCCTCTTAGTTGCCAGAGCCAGTGGGGACCTCTATCTTTATTTAGTTTGTTTTTTATGTTGCTGTTCTAAAGCACACCTCTTCTTGTTAGACTTGAGATTGTGTTGTTCTCATTTCCCAGTAAATTATCAAGGCCTCTGTTTTTAAGTACTTTCATTGAATTCTCTTCTTCCATCCACTATTTAAGTGTGAGTAGACATTAACCTTTCAAAAGACAAAAATCATAAATTAATTTTATTTTAGCCAAATATCTTTGTGGCTGCACATTATTTTTTTGTCTTCATTTTCATTCTCAAGAGGCTCGTTCTTTCATTTTGGGTTATAATTCTGGAGATCACTCATTCTTCTGTGCTCCTTCCAGGTGTCTTAACTCACTGTTTTTTCTTTCTATAGTTTTGCAAAGCTCCTTACACTAACCTTAATACTTGTTTTTAGAAAATATTTTGAGCAATATATTTTGTCCAATTTTCCTTCCTTATTCCTATTTTATAAATAAGATATTTCCAAACCCCAATACTATAAGAATAAATATGTTAAATATTTTGTAAGCCATGTCATATATTGATCTTTATTGACTGAATCTAGCACATATTGGAAAACCTGAATTTTTTATGACTTCACATAGATTAACCAGACATTATACTTTTTTCTACAGGAAATTCTCACATTAAGTAGGATATATTTATGCTTCCCTTTTTTTTTTTTTTTTTTTGGTACTGGCGGTTGAAACTGGATCCTCATGAATATTGGATAAGTGGTGATCCACTAAGCTACATCCCAGTCCCTGAACTGACCAAGTCTTCATACTTATTGCAACCCTTTGCATGCTTATTTTTCTGAGTGTATAGCTGCCGAGTTTGTAGTGTCAAATGGACAGCACAAAAGAGAAAAAAAATAAATTATATACACATACAAACATATATATGCATATATATCCTCATGAATATTGGATAAGTGGTGATCCACTAAGCTACATCCCAGTCCCTGAACTGACCAAGTCTTCATACTTATTGCAACCCTTTGCATGCTTATTTTTCTGAGTGTATAGCTGCCGAGTTTGTAGTGTCAAATGGACAGCACAAAAGAGAAAAAAAATAAATTATATACACATACAAACATATATATGCATATATAAAGGAAATTTTATATATATATGCAATTTCTTTTAATATTTATTTCAGAAGCAAGAAAGGTAGAGTATATATTATTTTTACCACTGCCTAAATGATCAACTTTCACTGATCAAGAACTGCATCCCTTTCTAATAAAGAGATTATATTCATAATGTAATTATGAATATATATGTACGTGTGTGTGTATTTTTAGTTCTAAACACTACATTTATAATATTCCTCTAACGCTCAGGGAATATTGTGGAAGATGGTGCGGAAAGAATGTAAGAGCCAGAAGATAGGGAGAAAGGTTACAAAATGTCATTTCTGGGCAAGTCACAGCCCCTGTAATTGTGAACTAACAGCAACTGTAGATGCCTGCAGTGGGTTTGCACCAGAATAGGCATATTTGAGGCATGGATAAAGGAGGTACTCAGAAGTCCCCACTCCTTGGTCCAGAACTATTTGTTACTTATAGATTTAGGGACAGTAGAGTTATTACCTTTGGGTGTCAACCCACTTGTGAGCCCACTAGGTTCCAATATATAGTTCTAATCCAGTGATCATACAGATGGTGCTGGTTAAACTGAATAGTTTACAAAACAAAACCAAAAATTATCAGTCTGTGAAAAGGACTAATATTGAAGATGAGAGTTTGTAAAGTTGTGGGAGGGCAATAACAGAGTTGGAGACAGGGAAGAAATCTGAATGCATTATATACATGTATGAAATAGCCAAAGAACAAAATGAATAAAAATAAAGTAATTTTCTTACTCTTTTTAAAAATATCTTATTTATTATTTTTATTTTATGTGTGTAAGTATATTGTTTGCATATTTACAAGTGCACCCGTTTGGAGCAATACCAGTGGAGGACAGAAGAGGTTGTGGGATTCCCCTAGAACTGGAGTTACAGGTGGTTGTTAGATGCCATGTGGGTGTTGGGAATTCAACCCAGATCCTCTGGAAGAACAGCCAGTGTTCTTAACTGCTGAGCCATCTCTCCAGCCCTTAAAGATTGTTTTTTAAATCGTTGACTGTGCTTTCTTTTCTACATCAAACAAGATGAAATTCAAAACTCAATGTGTAGAGGTTTTTGGTAGCAGACTTTCATTTTTTCCTGCATGCCCATTCCACAGTTAGGCATATTCATCTGACAAGAGGCTCTTCAAAGATAGTGCCAATTCACTGCAATAACCAGAGCTACCAACACATTGACTGGTGGGTAATTTGCCCTTTGCTCCATCACTAGCAAGTGGAAATCTAGGGTGTATGAAGAGGGGGCCCCATCTGTGCATGCTGTTCCTCACCAAACTTTGCTCTCAGCTGATCTATATCACATGGAGCCTAGGTGGAGAAGGGTGAGTTATCCACCATCCCTCAGCCAGCTGCTGAGGAGAAACAGAAGCATATGGGTGGGGCTGCTTGCCAAAGACCACAGTCCTGCCAAGATGGCTGGATTTAATTGCCCGGAAGTCTGTGTCCCGTGCATGTCCCAGACTTTCGTGAATGTTCCTTACTTAATGTGATCATAGGAAATAGGCAGACCTTAAATATTCACTTTCAAAATTTCTGTTTTATGTTACTTTCATCCACGAAGCAGAACACACTTCAAAAGAACTAATGCTTACAATATTCCGTCTTTCCGTTTGTTACATCAGCAAGTAAGATGCTTTTAGAGGCTTTTCCATTCCTCTAAGATTTTGTAAATCCAAGCACAAACATTTATAAACCTATAAACATGTTGATAATAAAATTAGTAAATTTTCCTAACTTAAATTTAGGAAAAAAATTAAGGACTGGTGAACCTACCACCTTGGTCTTATGTGATTCTCTTTTGTTTACCTAGTTGTTACAGACGACCATGTACAAATCGGCTGAAGCACTGTGAGCCAGGACTGTCATTTAGTGAAGAAGTATGTCGCTGTGTCCCTTCATATTGGAAAAGACCACATATGAACTAAGATCACACTGTTTTCCACTTCATCATTTTTCTGTCTTGAAAAACTGTTGCCACATTAGAACTCTATGAACACAGAGACTCCGTGAGGCCATGGTAACTGAGAACAAAGTCTTTGTTTCCTGAACCATGTGGATAACTACGGAAATGGAAGTTCATGTGCAAAAGGCTTCTTAAAAGACTGGTTTTCTGCCAGTGCCAAGGTTTTTCTTCTTGTGATTTAAAAGAAAAAAGAAGAGAAAAGAAAAAAGAATGACTATATAATTTATTTCCACTAAAAATAATGTTTCTTCATTCAATTTTATAGCAATAACAATTGGTAAAGCTCACTGTGATCAATATTTTTTATAACATGCAAAATACGTTTAAAATAAAACAAAACTTGTATTATGAGCTGCTAACTTCAGTCCATTGCTGTTTTACATCTTAAACCGAAATTGATGCCACAAATAGTTGCACCCTGCTGCCCTTTTCCGTCTTTTCCAATCCTACTTCAGAAGTTTTTAATATAAAATATGAGTTTCATAAACACAACAGTAAGCTATTGCATTCTTTTTAAATTAATCTCATTTTATTTAATGATTATAAACATCTTAGCATACGATACATTTGAATTTATAACGAATCAATTCACATCACCTGATGAAACAAACTTCTTGTCATGACCATGTAATTTAAAGTTATTTAGTGCACTGGAAATATTCAGACTCTTAACAGATATAAAATCTCTCAGAATATATTAAAATGTTTTAAAATATGTTTTTCAAATATTTAACTTATTTTTGACCAGCTAAAATAATGTTGTAGGTAAAGAACTCTAATCCAATACATTTATAATAACCTAGAAATATTTTCACATACATATGTTTTTTAAAAGGAGATGTTTCAGCTACACAAGCAAAGTATATATTTTAGTTTTGAAAGTTATAACTGAAATACTTTTCATCTGGGAAGAAATATTTCATCTGCCTTAGTACTATGAAGTAAGTGGTTTGCTTGTTGGCAAAGAATTAATTATATACTAGTATGGCACAGATACTGTATGTAGTAATTAATTATTCCTGAAAGGACAAAATGTTATACATAGGTAAAAATATAGAAGGTAGCAAATATAATATACCACACTATATGTGATCTAAATGATGGATTAATGCAATGCACAGTACTCATATCTATATGTTTTCTTAGAAAATATTTTACTTAAAAAGTTTTATTAGGACAGCATCTTAAAAATATCTGAAACAATTCAATACTGACTTTTGAAAGACTTTATAAGCAATGTTTACTGAATTACAATTACTAGTTCAATATAACAGCATCTAGCTCATAAAGTCATATTTTGTTCATGTTTTAGAAAATAAAATATTATCTTCCAAAATATTCTCATCACAGATTATTGGATTATCTTCCATTTTTGTAAGGATTATTCTGTACTCTCTAAGACAAAATATGTACTGCACATGGAATTAAATTCTGAACATACTGAATAAAGTCTAAGTTTTCAAATTTGAGGGAAAAATAAGTGCGGGAGAGGAATAAGTAAATCGGACAACAGCTAGATTTCTTAAAATTTCTTCAAAAGAACAAGTTTGGTGATATTTATAGAAAAAGCTAGAAGGTTCCTCCTTGCATCTGACAGTAAAGAACAACCCCAATTCATCCAGTGCTCTATGTTTGAAATTCAACAGGAATCTCTGCAATCATTTTTCATGTCTTTTGATCCGAAAATAAAATCAAATAGAGATTATGTAATCTGTCAGTTTATTGCTATCATTTAGGTAAATAATTTTTAGATTTCATACATTTGAACTATATTAATTTTTTGGTCTTTTTGAGACAGGGTCTCCATGTAGCCCCAGCTGTCCTGGAATTTACTATGTTGACCAGGCTGGCCTTGAACTCACAGAGATCTGCCTGCCTCTGCCTCCTGAGTGCTGGGATTAAAGGCGTGTGCCACCACACCCAGCCTATATTAATTTTTTAGCTACATTAGAAAAAAAATCTTACCCTGAGTAATCTTCCTAAGGCTATGTAAAAAATGTTGAAGTCTGATACAGTAACTGTTATATATTAGATTAAATGTCAGTTTAAAATTTGTGTTTCTCAAAATATATTGGCAAACTAAAACAAACAAAAAAATCACAAGACTAAAAATTGAAGCCAGAAGTATCCCAGAGACAGAAAATTTATTTGTCCCTGGAGATGCAATTACTTTGATTTAGAAGCAAGATTAGCATGAACAAAGTTAACATCCCACAGTGAATCCTTGCACACAGTTTGATACAGACCATAAAAGTCCCACTTCAACACATTATGTATAACGAATGGGATTTTATGCAGCTAATATAGTGGACTTGGGCTAAAGCTAAATAGATGTTCAGCATATCCATACAAGCGATTTAGCAAAAAGATAAAAATTATGGTGAGAATGATCTTGAACTCTTCAAGAATTCCAAGACACCATAGCTGATCCAAAAGATAAAGTTGAGAAAACACTGGAGGCTCACAGCAACAACTAATATATCTCAACCTTGGAAATTTATAAACAGAATTTCATGTCTAGAAACCTAATATTGTATATTCAGTTTAAAAGGCTGAGCGCAAAAATGTTTTGGTAAGCAGTTGTGTTAGATTTAGCTTCCAGAATTTTTTTAAGGTTTGAATGTTTATTAACTGCTTGAGTGAAACAGATTCCATTTTTAGCCTTTCTAAAAATATGCTTTTCCTCCGTGTGTGTACCACTCCAAACTCAGTTGAATGGTGTAAATGAATGATTAAATTCAGAGTATACTTTAAAAGAGGGAAAAGGGGTCATGAACTTACACACATGTGCTCAAAGCTTTCTCTGTGGGCTCCCAAGGAAACTCATTGCTAAAGAGAGAAGAGGTAGAGTCATAAGCAGAGGGTAAATATTGCACAATGGTCTTAACACAATGTCAAAACTTGAGGAAATACAGTTTTCCATTCATCTATCTAGAAAGCGCATATAGAAATGAATGGAATTCTCCTGGTTCACATTCCTCTATGTTGCTTTGCTGTCCTCAGAACATGAGCTTTCATCAAGAAACATTGCAAAGGCTACTTTTAGAGTTTATAAATTCTAGAGTGTTTCGAATTAATGCATTATTTTATCCTAAAATTGCACATGATATATCCAAATAAATATTTAAAGAAATAAGTGACACTTTAAAAAAAAAATACTTGTTTATCCATGCACATGAATGTTTGTGCTCCTGGATACTTTTAAACTGGTGAGTTCTGTGAATTTATAGAAACGGGAACCTTTACATTCCAGTGCTGAAAACTGTGTTTAAAGAAGCATAATGTAGCAGAAGAATTCAATCTAAGTGAACACTGAATTGGAAATCATAAAAAACTTTAAATTCTCAACTTTTCTGTACCCCCAAGAAAATTACCAATCTCCCCAAGTCTGGGAATGTTAACCTGGGGAGGGAAGGAGTTGAATTATGTTTGTCTACATTCCTGGCCCTGATACTACAATTTGTCTTAAATTATAGAGGGGAATTAAGGCCACAACAACTTTAGGCACTTCAGGAAATGCATCATGTAAGAAACGATAAATGAAAACTCTGTCTTCTTTATGTTGTTCTAACTCCTTAAATCTTGAGTGGTAGAGATAGCTCAAAAGCAATACTCCTTTTTAAATTTTATTTTTATTTTATGCATATGGGTGTAATGCCTGCATGTAAGTAAGTATACTTGCATGGTACAGTGCTTACAGAAATCAGAAGAGGGCATCAGATCCCCTGGAACTGGAACTTTGGATAGTTGTTAGCCACCAAGTTGGTGCTGGGATTTGAACTCAGTCTTCTGCAAGAATAGCCAGTGCTCTTAACTACTGAGCCATCTCTCTAGGCCTCCTCTTATATTTTCTTAGTATCAAAAGTGTTTGCATATGGAAACAGAAATTTTCTTTGTAAATATCTTGAAAAATTAGTGCCATATAACTTTCATAGAATGACATTAAGATTTCTTGTCCTCTCCCCCAAATCTAAATCAAATACACACAACTTGTATTTAACCCAGAAAAAGGCACTGAGACAGAAATTGACTTTGAATTATTACTGCTGTCTGACATTCTGACCATAAGAATCAGTTAGCTTTTGGGCATACCTCACCAGAAACTGACATGTACAAATTTGTAAGTATAAGAGTCAAAACGCTCATATCCTGCTGTAGACTCATTCAGCAGTGTTTATTATATACCAGGCCTATGCATGGTTATCCACAACAAACAGTGAGAAAAATTTTTAAAGTTTTTAAATTTACATTTTAATTGATTTTTTGTGAATTTCATGCATCTTTACCATATTTAGACCCCCTCCCATATAGGAACCTACTATAGTCCCCCCCAACCAGTTTTCATGCATTCTGTTATCGATGTTAAGGCATATTTAGCCAAGTGTGTGTCCACAAATATCCCTCAGTGTGAGTCCCCAAATATTCCTCAGTATGATTCCCTCCTCTGAAGCCTAATTAGCCTAACTATTGTAGCTAAATTTGATTTGGTGGAAATACTTGAGATATCATTAAAAACTTCCTTCTTTGAGTGACTGCATAAGAAATAATGTGTTCTAAATAACTTCATAAAGAAATGCATTGGCGCTTGGAAGTTTGAGGCATGAGGACTGCTGTGAGTTTGAAATCAGCCTAGACTATCTATTGAGTTCTGAACTAGACTAAAACAACAACAACAATAAAAATCAGAGATAAAGCAAAATTGATTACTTTTATTTGATTATTTATTTACTTACTACCATTTTAAGACAGGATCTCATGTGGCCCAGGCTAACCTTGAATTGATCCTAGTACCTTAATCTCAGATAAGATTGAGGTCTGCAGTTCATTTTCCCAGCTATATTTTTAAGCAATATTTGTACTGAACCATAGAAATTTTCATGTATTTTGATCATATTCATCCTCTTGCCATCATCTCCTCTAAGATCCATCACCACCTCCTAACTTCCCACAGCTTTATGCCATCTTTTTTAAGGAACTATTTTATTGCTCTCTGTAGTCTGCTCATCCTTAAGCAACAGCCCTTAGCATCGATTATGTTTTTATACCTGTGTTCTGATACTTCCACACAACATGTTCTGCAAATACCCTTCAATGAGATGGTACCCTAAAAAGGAAAAAGAATATTGGCAAGCAGTATAGATTTGTTTCCCAATGTCAAATATTCCCAGCCTTCTCTGATTTATTCTAGGTTTTGGAAATAAGACTTGGGTCCAATTCCAAACAGTATTTCTTTTTTATTTTATTTTTTTAAAATAATCTACAAAATAATGGGTTTCATTATGGAATATTCACATTTACTTTGCTGACCCTCTTTTCCCTCTTCTCTTCTGATCTCCTGCCACACAGTTG